TATATGCAGCGTATGCCTTCTTTTTCTTCTTTATCCATTCCTTTACCACCTCACTCCACCATCTAGTTCTTTTAAACCGCATATTTACTCTCTTCCTACCACATACCTCTATCTGCCTCTAACATAGTTTCCTTCAGCTTCTTCCATTCTTTCTTGATTCCTTCCCTCACCTCTGCCTGTTTCATTTTCAATCTTTCTTCAATTGCTTATTCATATCCTTTCCTATTTTTTTCCATTCTCAATTTTTCCACTTTTAATTTTGAAATATTTCTTAAATTGTTCTCTAGGTGGATTTTTGATAAGGGTTTTCATCACCACCAATATGTGTCCAATGCTTAATTCTGCTCTTTTATACACCCTAATAGACATTACTGCATATCAAAACGACTGTGTACGTAAAGTAATTAAACATTCTTTTAACTGTCATCTGATTTCTTCTTGTTTCAAAGGTGAATTTGTGAATTTTCTTGTGTGGAAGCCACTTATCAGCAATTGATTATCTATACAACATTCTAGCATCCGCTCCCAATTATCATTCCTTGTTTTCTCCACTCCATATTTCCCCATACAAACGTTTTCTTTCTGTGCATCCAATCCTATTTGAACATTCCTGTCTCCCATTATCATCACATGATCATGAGTGATTTTGTTCTATTACTCTCTCATAATTCTTGCACTTACCAGTTCAAAATTAATCACTCTCTTATTAATTTCCGGGTTCATGATAATACCTACTCCCCCAACAGCCCTTGTTTCAATATCCACACCACTATATCTCATTACCTAGCCTTTATGCAATTACACCTCTCCTGCTCCCTTCTTTTTAACTTCACTAATCCCCAAAATCTTTAAATTGTACTTTTCCATCTCTTTTACTAATTCCATTTCTTTTCCTGTTATTGATGTAATATTCAATATGCCTACATTCATGTCCAATTCCTTGCGCAGTCGTTCAAGTTGTCTTTCTTGTCCGAGGCTATTTAAGCTTCTCTGAATATGCTACGAGTGAGTGGGTGATTGGCCCTAGGTCACTCTGTCCAGTGGGAATGTCCCCTTTCTGCCTTTGGGCCTGTGTGATTTTGGTCAGGGTTTTCTCCCCTAGCAGTTGGAGATCCCTCTCCTCCTTGCAAGGCAGCAGTTTGGTTTTCTGTCAGGCACTGGAGACTCGCCCTGCTCTCATTAGCTGCTCTCCTTAGAGAGCATCCAGGGGCTGCCACGGGGAGGAGAGAGCAAGACTTGCTGACTTTTGACCCCTAATCAGGTATTCCCATTACAGGAGGGAATTACTGGTGTTTTAATGGTGTTTACTTGTCGGCACAGGTGAACCCCCACCAGGCCCAAGTGGGCTAGTTGATCCCCCATCTAATACCATGACCAGGAAATTCACCATAGATGAACCTAATAAAAAAGGTCTGGGAATTCATTAAGAGGGAAATTGCCAAGGAAGAAATAACAACAAAAAATCGTCTCCTTGAGAAAATAATTCAAATTTGGTAAAACAATTCAATGTTGCAAGAGACAGTTCAGACACGTTCAGGCATGCCAAAATGAATTACAGCTGTAATAGCCACCAAAGGTGGTCTGACAGGACTGATTAAATGAGAATATGGAGATTTCTTTTCAAACTTACTTCACCATTGTAGAATCATGACCATTGGGCCCTTATATTGTCTGACAAATCTTTACCCACATTGAGCAATCCTGTGAACCAATTTTATTTTATTATTCTACAGTGGTCAATTTCAATCGGGAGGACAGGATGGATGGCAATGCCACAGACAATGAAGACAATGAGGATGACAACAACGTTGGTTTCTATCACAATATAAGGTCCCTCTATGCCCTGATGAAAAAATTAAATATTTCAAAACGTTGGCACAACTAATTGTTTCTTTACCCACATGTTTTACCACCCTGTTTTCCAGCGCACGATTACGCATTCTTCCAAAGTAAGTGCAAGCAAAGAGTACACAGAGCGCGAGGAAATAAAACCAATAATATGCAGAATTAACAAGAAAGGTTGTCTTACTCTCTTCCTTGCTTGTTAACCTTTGTTCGAAATCCCCACTGCCATTTCCAGAAAGCACCTACAGGGATTCTCATTTATAGTTTTGAATGACTATTTTGTTATGTGTAAAGTAATATAATTATGCCAACAGGAAAATCCCAGTTTGTAGGATAATACTTATGCCAATGCGATAATTCTCTTTTGCAGGACAATTTCAACTATGAAATTGTATTTTAATATAAATCAATAAGAATGGAATAATATGTTATAGAACAGGGGCTTGCAAATGAACAAATTTTCATTAATTCAGCACTAGAAAATACACTGAAAGAATGTACTCTTCAGCACAACGATTCTGGGATGTTTGGATTAGATTTTCAAACATTCTATTCTGGTGTGGATAGTGGCAGTAGCTCCAAAGAACACCTGACAAAATAAGCTCCGATTACATTTTTTGTAATTGTAAATATTTTTAATTTTAATAGATCATTTTTCACATACTACACTCTAGAGATAAAAGAACAGACCATTATTAGTATATTCGAATGAGAAAACACAATCATAGACTTGGGTTTTTATAGTTACATATTTAAATTTTCTTTTTATTTATAACTTGCATAGTACAGATGAAAATATTTTTAAACAGTTTAGCATCGGCGATGCCACATTCAGCTAGTTTTCATGTAAAGAACCTCCCAAAACACATTAAAAGAAATGTATGAAATTAGATATCATCTAATTCAATGAGGGAATATCAATCGGAACATTCTGTTTGTCAAATAGTTACCATAGAATAGATTTATGCAGTAGGTAGTGTGGGTAATAAACATGGACCTTTGGATTGATTGACTGATTATTTCCAGGCACTTCAACTGCAATTGTCATTTGTTCCATAAGTGTAGAGCATGTTTTTATGTGGTGGTGGTGGTGGGGGTGTCCCCATTTGGATAGTGAGATCTGGTGTCGACATTCATATCACCTTGCAGTGTTTTTCCTAAATCAGGTATCTCCCACCAGCAGGGCACCAGACTGGTCGGAACAGCATTCAAGCTCTCCATATGCGTGATAGTGCAAAGCGTGTGTGTGTGTGTTTGATAGTGCAAAGCAAGTGTGTGTGTGATAGTGCAAAGCTTGTGTGTGCGTGTGTGTGATAATGCAAAGTGTGTGTGTGTGTGTGTGTGTGTGATAGTGCAAAGCGTGTGTGTGTGTGATAGTGCAAAGCGTGTGTGTGTGTGATAGAGCAAAGCGTGCATGTGTGTGTGTGTGTGATAGTGCAAAGCGTGCGTGTGTGTGTGTGATAGTGCAAAGCGTGTGTGTGTGTGATAGTGCAAAGCGTGTGTATGTGATAGTGCGCGTGATTGTGTGTGCGTGTGGAAGTAAGGGGTGAGGATATTGTTGAGGATATGATGAATTTTGTTGTTAACCATCGTTGTGATTGCCATTTCCTCCTCCCCCAACTGCTGTTTGTGGGGACCAAACACATCATCTCATGCAAACGTTCTTCACATTTTGAAAAAATTAGTACTGGATATAGCTTCAAAAAGTACAGGTAGTATGAATATGGCAAAAATTTCACTAAGAGATTATACATTCCTGAAAAAAATACAGATTATTGCAGCTACTGAAATTTTCGAAATAAAATAATTGTATTTTATAGTCATAACCAAAAGTAGCAACAATTACAAAAAGTCGCATAATGAACTAGTGTAAAACGAGTCCAAACAATGGTGCTTGTTGCAAAGTGCATTTTTTTAATGAATTCTATTACCTGCAATTGCACATCCTTAGAGAAGCGTGGCGGCAGGGCTTAAGCCCTAATTACTGTACGTGCTCTAATAGAAATGAATAAAACTTACGGATAGGCAATTTTCATGGTTTGCACTTCATATGCTTTGTCCCTGCATTGTAACGCCAATTTATTTTCAAAGGCAAATTTTCTCTCTTGGCTAGCCCGGATCCAAGTCACAGCTAGGCTCGGGCCTTCGGCCCCCGCGTTCACTATAAACATCCTTTTGTCTATCCAACGCATAATTACCAATTCACTTTTATAAGACATCGCTCTTCAAGACAGTCCCAAGAATTCTAACTGCCTAGATAATGCCAGAACAACGCGAAGTGCCAGTTTAAACGACTTCCTTAGGTTGTACCATATACTACATTTCAGCCTAAGAGTACAAAATCTCAAGTTGCCACTGGACATCAGTACTGGAACCATGTGCCCTGCAAGTGTACCACTACGGACTAAATGTATAACATTATGTACGCAATATTTAAATACCCTTTTAAACTTTGTTTTCATGAATTTCCATGAGTTGCTTATATTTATTTTGTTTTAGTGTTATGACATTTGAAACATTCCTGATATTCAGTGGAGATACATCCCCAATGTTTGGGAGACACTACTTGCCACTGCATCCAAAGCAAAAGAAGAAGTCCAACAGACTTCACCCCTCTGACCGAAGGCTATGATATCGTTTTCTCATACAAGTATACTAATAAAAATCAACTCCTATATCCCTAATTACATTCATTTCCGATTTCAGAGCTATTGAACAACCAATCCTTTCATATCCAACCCATATCTCATTCCTTGGAAGATACTATGGCCACTGGAGTTTCCTTGACGGAGCGATACACAAAATTATTTAGAAATAAAATGAATATTTTTCTATAATAAGACAACATGGAATTTTTAATCTTCTTTACATAGTTGTTTTGCAATATTTCCGTGAATAATCCCCCCCCACCCACCATCTTCAGGCTACAAAGAATATAACAGCAAAATTTTAGCAAACACTGAACAAAATAAAATGTTACTGACATTAAAATACAAGAAAAAAATATAATAAAAGAGTAGCACTCGATATAAAACAATGCGGAGAGTCACCAATTTCAAAACAACACAAAAATAATTAATAATTTAAAATTATTTAAATATCAATAATACGGAATGGAAGTATTGAAAAGTACATATAATAAATATCACACTTACAAGGTGTAATTCAATTTGGTCACACAGTGAATAAAATTCTTCCATATTTTTATCAAATCTAGGTACTGGAACATCGACACCTTTCCTACAAAATAGTGACATCTTCATTAATCTATGCTAATATTCTATTTCTCAGAAAATAAAACCATATGCAATGCTACAATAACTTAAAATCAGGAATAACTTACAGTGATCCGACATCTACTAAGCTATTTTGATGCAATGTTTGGGCTGCTGTTTTCAAGGTAATCTAGAAAAAAAACATTTATAATTTAGTAACTGTTAATTAACTATCATCCACTTCCAATCAATCACACCAGAATTTTACTTACAGCTAGAGATTCCCGCAGGGGTCCAATTAATGACTTAACTTTGGAAATATTATCTAATTTTTCCTGGGTTTGTTGAGGCATCTGCTGTATCTGCTGAGCTTGTTGTGGAGTTCCTGGTTGCTGTTGAGGTACCTGAGGTATACCGGAGGGAACTTGGGGTTGCATTTGTGGTATATTCATATTATCAACGAGCTTAGAGGCAGATACCAATGCAATACTAAGACGCGAAGAATCTCAAATCCGCATCAATTAGAACAATTAATTAAAATAATATTATCAAGTACTTCTTTGTTAAACACTACAATAAAATGCCAGATTCGGTAACCCTAACTGTAACATGAGTTTACGATCACATAGAGAACTCAAGTTATAACCATCATAACCATTTCAGACACGAGCGATATAAGTTCATAAAATTCAGTACACAACTTTTCTAATAAAGCAATACACTATGTATGTGTAATCTACGCAATTCTGCGTGTAAATACTAGGATTTATTTAACCCTGCACTTGAGGTAAATCAGCTGTTCACGGGGAGGGGAGCAAAGTTGGGAGCTCCCAATTGGATGAAACGCCACAACCAAAGAGTATATATGGCCACAACTGATTTACATCAAGTGCACAACTAAATAAAGCGCACTAAATACAATTAGAGGCTATTACACTCAAAAAGAAAAGTAATATTGGTTTTTAACAATGATATCTAATGAATTAGTTACAATTTGTGCAGCATGATTCTAAAAATGTAAATATGCCTGTAACAAGTATTGTACTTCAGTTTCTTGGTCAATGACCACCCATCGCGATCACGTTTTTCGTCCAGTTTCCCTGATTCTTTGAGACAATGATGAGATAACCCATTTTTTGCTTTGGGTCTTAAATGTAGCTTTACTATCTGTACATTTTCGTTTCATTCAATTTTGGGATGCTGTATTTGCTTCTCCATTATAGCTAAACATATAAATCTTATAATACTTGTACAATTGTTTGCACTCCATTCAAAGAAACCAATACCAACTTTGCCTATATTATTAAAAAATGGGTAAATTGCAGGTAAAACACGGTCGAGATCATGCAACATCTAGTGACACTCCGAGAAAGACGCGAAATTCCATGACATATTTCCTCGTGAAGGCAGGCACAGAGAGTATGTGGGCGTAATACGCTGTGCCCCTCGTATTGTGTACGATAGGATGGTCGAAACGGTGTCACTATCTATCTTCGACGCTGCGTCACCCTGACCGCTGAGATGTTTCACAATTGGAGAGGTTATTTCTAATGAGGCGTGTCTCCATTTCGAATTTCATTTCTTTATTTTCTCGCTTTAAGTATTAACATTTTGCCGCTTCTCCATTATGCTGCCAGATATTGCGTTCTTCTTTGTTAAACATCCGGGCAGTCACTCATGCGCCCAGAAATAAAACCCAAGAAGAAAGCAGGGCTGTCCAGCTGGCGGACCACTGTGCCATTTATTGTGGCCAGCGAATGTTATTATACAAACGTGAATGTCCCTTGCGTCTATATCGGGCCAGAATATTGCGCAGAATTTTTTTTCTTGTAAATTCAGGAATTTAAAATCATCCCAATGTGTTTCAGTGCTTCATGCATGTTGATACCTGATGCCATGCGTGGTTCCACCCCCCTCTCATTTCAGAGCACCCGGACAAACTGACGAGATCAACAATACGTAGTCGCCTGAGTATTTAAAGTATGGTCCGCGACCATGTTAAAGATTTTAGTTGCAGCCCTTGAGGCCTCGCAAGTTTGGACACCCCTGCTCTAGAGGACGTCATGGTGCAAGCTCAATTATGTGCAGGCCATGGCCGTTTTCCGCATCCCAATTTCCATGCCTTATCCATTCCATACCAATCCATTTCCATGCCATATCCCATTGATCGTTTTCCTCCATTTCTCTTTTTTCATGGCTTCAGTTATTGCCATGTTCCGTGTTCTTCTCGGTCTTCATCTGTAACTTCTTCGATTTGGTATCCACTCCCAAACTTTTTGAGGAAGTCTATCCGATTTCAACCTTCTCATATGTCCATACCATTTTAGTTGTTTCATTTCGATCGTCTCGTTCAAGGTTGTTTGCACTTTCATTTTATTTCTCATTTCATATCTTATTTTATCTAACAGAGAATGTTTACAACATCTTCGCCAGAACATCTTCTGCCCTATAGACTGTGGTACTCTCTATGAAGGAGCTATATATGCGTTTCTTTGTCTTCATTGAAATAACTGAGTTCCATAGCAGTGGATTCAACTGTCTTGTGGCTATTTTTCCTCTTATATTTTTATTTTTCACGTCCTGTTCGTGTCTACCATCTGCTGTTAGTGTGACTCCCAAATACTTATATTGGTTTTACCTTTAATTATTTCTATACTCGTCTCTAAATCATGAGGCATACCTCCCACCACCATATATTCAGTTTTTTGTAAATTTATTTCCATACCCCATTTTCCATACTCTTCTACTAATTTTCTGAACATATAAGTTACATCATCTTCATCTTCAGTCATTATCACCTGGTCGTCAGCAAATAGTAAACAATATTTTATCACCTATTTTCACACCCATGCTTCTGCACTTTCTTTTCCATTCTTTTAGGGCTTTATCAATGTATATCTTAAACAGGGTTGGAGATATACAGCAGCCTTGCCACAATCCTTTATTTACGCGAAACGTACTCCCAAATTGAACCGCGAAATATCCGCCATTAGGGTGGCAAGAACGCGCGTGAATTCAAATATTGTCATTCACCTACAGAAAATTTGAGATACATTCTTAGAATTTGCGCTTCTAATGTATTTACTCTACAGCATGAATTTTTTGAAAATGTCGGGAAAGGAGTTTGAAGGAGTACTGTATTAAAGTATAAAATAAATACCAGGAGTACATTTCAAGAACTCCCAAAATTTCCTTCCTGCATCCTGTTCTCACACAACCTGTGAGTTTCGAGTATCATTTTTCTTTGGGTTGTCCTATTAACTTTTTAATATTAATAGCGTAATTTGCAATAATAATTTAATATTAATTGTGTGTATTGCAACAAAACACGATCTATTCAATTTGCACTACTCCAACTATCAATTTATGTTAAAAACTTTGAATCTTATATATATATATATATATATATATATATATATATATATATATATATATATATATAATTTTTCAATATAATATATAAATAATAAAATTTATATATATTTTATAATAAATATTATATATTGTGACGTACCTTCGATGCGATGAGATCCAATACATTTATTTTTAGAAGGGACAGGTGTCTTGGTTCGTGAATGGACCTCTGAAGGTTTGACGGAAACATTGGAAAAACTCAATCATCATTTTTTTAAACAATCAAACACTTTATTACCAAAATCACAAATTTCATGCATCAACTCCGGTTTGATCAATCTCCTTTTTGGTACCAAAAATATACATATGAGCTCAGATATATTATATTGCACAATACCTTGAATGCAATAAACCATTAGTTTCTTCTCGAATGCCCCCCAGCGGCCACGTCAATCGGCGACCTTCGGCGCCCTTCGGACGGATGACCTTCGCTGGTAAACCATAGACCCCGGCCTTCCACAAGTATCACACAACGACACCTCAGTTTCGACCCCGACCGTCGTAAATGTATTTCGGGTCGGGCATGTAGTAACACCTATATAACTGTCCACCTATCCTTCGTTGGTAATGTGGCGTCATACGGGTGTAATCGAACACAGACGAGAGTGGTTCGTAGATTTATTAACAATTTAGACCGTAGTCTCAATTTAACAACTACCCTGCTCAAAATAAACTAAATAAATAGACCCACTACAAGGAGAGTTAATTTAAGAACGGCTACCACACCGAAACATACCATCGATGTTCCCTGTATGAAGTCGCTCTACTTTGAGACCATCTACGGGTCTCTCAAGTCACGACAATGAATTGCCGGCCCCTCACCCTAGTGCACCTGCACGTACAGACACGCGCAACACCTGTCGCCGACGCCGCTAGCACAAGAAGACTGGGGCATTATTCTCCTGGCCGTTATACAGACCCTTTGGCTCTACCCGCCGCCCCCATTGCCTCCTCTCGAAAGCCGCTCTGGGCCTGCTACGTCCACGGAAAGTCCCATCACCCCGCCCTTTGTTCAACATCCGGCATTTTGAGCGTGGCACGACGCTTCAATAATATCAGTTCTCCCTTCCCGCACAACCTACCAGTTCTACTTCGTGTACCTTCTCACATTCACGTATACACGTGGCAAATTTTCACTGTCATTACCGGCAATGCGGTCTGCAGTTTTTTACCTTGTTACAACATCTCTCGAAACCTATTCCCCCTCTTCAAGCTTTCTCTACTTATTAACCGCCACAATCACACTTAATCTACTCCCTAATAGCTTCTCTTCTGTTATTTAACTTCACTTCTTTACTCTCTTCTGCTGTCGTCTCGCCCGGTCTCGCCGCCTTCTCGCGCCTGACCCGTTCACTGATTCCGTCAGCTACTCGCCGCCGTTACCGCGCAATTCAAATACATGTGTTGGAAGAAACGCGGTGCGTTTCAATATATATACATATATGTGTATAATATGGTATAATATATATGATGTGTGTTCAAACTATGGAGAAAATAAAAAGCTGCTTTGTGTAACATCCTATACCACATCTTTGAAATTCTTTCTCCTCTGCCAAACTCTGACCTCATCCGAAGGTCTCGCACGTGTCTAACAAAGCAACTAGTTTGATCGCGGGTTACGAGCCCATCTATGGTAGATAAAATCATTCCTTTCTACTAGGACATGCAGAGGGGCCCCCTGGCCACGACTGCGTTGTACTGAACTTAAAATATTAATTTTTATTTTTAGAATTTTGGCAAGCTTTTTTCAAAATTTGATCCACTGTGCGTCGCTCCGAAATGCCAGAGACATCTACAGGACATTCGGCTAAACTAGCTCGTTCCTTCCATACCAACCTTATGTAAATCACTCGCAACGATTCCTTAATGGGCTTAGGGACATTTGGTTACGGTTTAAGTTGAACCGCAGTAGCAGTCAACCTCAACTTCATTCCTCTACGTAATGGAAGCATTACAGCCTACGAGATCCATAGGTCTTTTTTTTCGCTGGATATTGGCATGCTTGATAAAGAGAGATATGTCAACCTCACTCAATTCCCCCTGCATCATGCGGCAAACAGTTCCGTCAAGAACACACAAGCCGCTAAATGTAATGCTAAATCCGAAGCAGGAAAATCAGGTAATCAGGTGAGTCGGGGGTGACCACGACAGTGTGGGTGGTTACAGTACATATCCACGATTCCCATCTTCATGGTTCCACTAGCCAACCACCTTCCCAGGTAACCTTTGTAGTCAATTTTCTGAAAAACGTTTGGATTTATGTACAAGACAGTTGGTTCCAAAACTGCCTAGACGACCAAGATTTCTGATTTTGATGCTGCTCCATACTTGCATAGGCGAATAATTTTCCACTGGAATTTTGTCCATCTAAGAGCTTGAGTAGATAAACTGCTATCTCACAGGTCAGTGACCACAATGCTTTTGACTATTCGCTTACTGGGTGCATTAAGCGATCAAGTCCCACAATTGTTCTTCTCGCATTCTGCAGCTCCGTTTTGTTCTGGAGTTTATAAGACCAACAATGTAATTCCTCGATTGCAAAGAACGCGTCAAATATCTTCGCAATCAAATTCCTTGACTCCATCGCGTCGAAAAGACCTCGCCTTGTCACTAGCAGTTGAAGTCTCGTTCCAAACATCTGGAAACTTCATTTTTATTCTTCTAAAAGAAAACACGATAACCTTATTGTAATTATCTTTAAAGCACACAAAAATTCGCTCCACGAGATTGAACCGACGTAGGTTAATTTACATCAACATTGATTTGTTCGTCAATGACTTCCAGTCGATTCATACGTTTCTTCAATAGATTTCTGTGTCCAAAACACATCTGTCACTTGTTTCTGCCACACTCACTTCCATAATATTTGGATTCACCACATTGTGCAAGTGTCGTTTGTCCTGATGTCAGAGTCGTTTGTGCCAAAACTGAAGAGTATAACGTCACGATTCAGCGCCGCTGGTTCTTGAGGGACTACTATTGGCAATTGTAGAATATGTACTTCTCACTAAACGATGTGATCACCCCGACGCAACCAAAATTTTTCTTTGACTCTAATTTCTTGACCCGAAATACTTTTGATAGAAAACATACCTTGCAACTTCCGGAACATACCAAACATTTTTCAAATGAACAGGAGGCCACTGGTTGTTGACAAGCATGCCAATGTTGACATCACCAAACCCATCAGGCAACATTTTTGCTTAATTGCCACACTGACTTGCATTGGAGTAGCGAATTTTTCATACCTTGTAAAATACTGTTTCTTCGATGTCATGTGATGTGACGCGTCTGAATCGGGATCCCAAGAATCCCCTGGTGTCATTCCACTGCTCTGTCAGAAACGATGTACTATGAACCTGTTTCGCCGCCGTTGTCTCTTCCTTGTTTGTTTTCCATTTCTAGTAGAAAAAAATTTATTCAAGTGACCCGATTTTCTGCGGAAAATACAAATGTTGATCTTTTATTGTCACCTGGATTTTCTTACCCACTTGAAGTGTTGCATTTTTAAGTGACACAGATGAATCTTTGCAGGATCATCACTAGAGACCAGATTTGACCAGTCTTGGCGAGCCTGCTTCAGTTATCGCAGAGACGGGTAGTGCGCGTCAATGATTGAGATAGTTTTCACCTTAGAGTGTGAAAAGCATCACTGACACCGCGTTTAGTGACTTTAACTTTAATTTCCGTGAAACATTGTTATCGCCGTAGTGTAACACTTCGAGTGTGCTGCACGCTGCAGTGAAGCGTCTAGTCTAGCTTCAAAACTACGGCTTAGACAGCAATATTACTACTGACGGGAAATTGTATGGTGCAACTTTTGTCCTCTGTGATGATTTTTAAATCGATTGTATTTTTAAAAATTGTTTAGGAAATTTTGTGTAAATGTAACTTCGTATTATGACAAGGTCTTTTATACCGTGTGGCCTACCTAAGACGTTCCCTCCAATTTTCTCCTGACCCGTTGCAGATATTGAGAAGCGGTTTTCACTAAAACTACTATATGCAAGGGGCACACATGGTCATGCATAATATTATTCTATTGCATTTTTATTGCAGAAATGACCCAACTTCGATTTTGTAAATAGAAGCCTATAGATTTTTTAGCTCGTCATAATAAGTGGGAAGAGACGAGTTCATAAATATGCATATCGCCATATGTTACATAACAAAGTTTTCGAGAAATTAAAAGTTTTAAAGACTCACACCGACTGCTGGTTTCCGTAATCTGCTCGAGAAATTCCGGGTGATATGCGGCGAGGCCATTCCCTTCCGTTGCGTCGGTCGAGTAAAGTGGAAACACTGGAGATGCCTCGAAGTGACGTAAAAAGGGTAGGTAGAACAAAAGGGTGGTGGAGAAAGAAAATGCAATCAGAACTAAACGGGAACTCTCCAGATTTAGAATAAATTTGTAAACGCGGTGAAATAGTGCAAAAATATCCAGGAAGATGTATACGAACGAGGAGATGCTGGGCCTACTTCTGGTGTACGGTGAATGTGGCAGAAATGCAAAGAAAAGTGCATTAGTATATACTGAAATATATCCAGATCGACGGCGGCCTTCGCACATGACTATAATGAGAATCTGTAAAAACCTTGCGCAGAGACGTGACTGGAACGCAAAGACTCGTTTGCGAAGCAGACGGGCAACCAATGAGGAAGCACAGGCCGCCGTTCTTACAGCTGTTCACAGCAATCCCCGTATTAGCTCTCGAGACTTTGCCAGAGATTTTGGCATTAGTCGTTCGAGTGCCCTCCACATCTTGAAGAGTAACAAGATTCACCCCTACCACATTTCGTTGCACCGGAAGCTTTATGATGGTGATTACCAGAAACGTGTTCAGTTTTGTCGTTTTGCTCCGGAAACACGTGGACTTTTTTAAGAAATTATGTTGAACCGATGAGGCAACATTTACGAATCACGATCATGGTGAATCTACACAACAGCACTACTGGGAGTCGTGACATTCCTCGCGGCTTCGTGACAGATTGAGACCAAAAAGCAAGTGGGAGTATTAATGTCTGGTGCGTTATCATAGGTCAATATTTCATGGATGAACATTTGACAGGAAACAAATACCAAGATTTCTTCGTGAAACATTGCAGCTGCTTCTGGAGGAAATTCCCCTGGATATGAGAAATTGTGTGTGGATGCAACATGACAGATGTCCAGCCCACAACGCGCTTCTGGCTAGGCAAGTGCTGAATGAGAAGTTCCCTGACCGATGGATTGGGGACGGTGCTGTAGTAAACTGTCCGGCAATGTCATCAGATCTTACGCCTCTGGTCTATTTTCTATGGGGAACGATAAAGACCGAAGTTTACTCACAAGTACCAACAACATCTGAAGTTCTGAGGCGCCGCATTACCGCATCTTGTCATGCTATTTCACGTGGAACTCTGAATTCTGTTGGAAGGTCAGAAACAACACAGGAATTTTTCCAGATCTTTTTAAAACAGCTAAGATTAGGCCGCTATCCAAAAAAGGCAACAAAAATGAAATTCATAATTATCGACCAATTTCTCTTTTGTCGTTTTTTTTCAAAAATATTAGAGAGACTTTTTTACGTACGAATGGAAACATTTCTTAGTAAACACGGCGCGTTTTCAGATTGCCAACATGGGTTTCAAAAATCAAAATCTACGGAAACAGCCATACTTTCTTTTATTAAAGATGTCGCATCATTCATAGATCAAAATAAAGCACATATTCGAATGTTTTTAGATCTTTCAAAAGCCTTTGACGTCATTGATAATAAAATTTTACTCTCAAAATTACCTTGGTATGGAATTCGTGGTGATGCTCTAGATTGGTTAGGTTCGTACCTTAAACAACGATCTCAGAGAGTAGAAATACCTTACTGGAATAATGGAACATTATGTTCATACCTTTCTGATTCTCTGCCAATTGCAGTGCAAATGTAGAGTTCCGCAGAGATATGCGGAACACACTGCTCGTTGTTCATATTTCGCGAATGTTCATTCCTGCCTGAGATATGGCATAATATTCTGGGGTAATACATCTTATAGTTCCCAGACTTTGAGATTACAAAAACGAATTGTACGAAAAATAAGTAAATCCCACCCACGTGATTCTTGTAAGCCTCTCTTTATTCATCTAGGTATTCTACCATTACCTTGTCTCTTCATATATGAATCAGTGTTTTATATCAAAAATGACTTACTTAAGGGCGGGAATATATTTTCACCAACTCACTACAAAAAAATCACTTATAATACATGTACATTATTTTACAACACCTTGCCAGATGACATCAAACGATTAAATTCGATACAAAAGTTTAAGCCCTAAGTAAAATGTGTTTCTATACAATTAGAGACTATAACCGAGCATCCAAAAGGAAAATAATATTAATTTTAACAATGACATTTTTGGCGTAAATTGAGTTATTGGTAGAATTTATAGTTTACTAACTTTAAACATCTTATAGATTATTCTGACACTATCGTAACATCCACCCGGTCAGGCAGGACCTGGTCCAGAAGCCCCTAACAAATTGAACAATACGATTTTTTTTATAGAAAATAACAATATACTTTAATTTTTGTTGGTTATGTATTAATACATCAATTTTTGTGTGAGAAAGCAGGGGTAGATACTAAGGAAAATGTGTTGCTTAACAAGTGTGCAACAATTTTGAACTACAAATATATGGCATTTTATGCAATGCTGTCAATACTCATAAACAAGAGATACTTTGTCCAATTTCCTACAAAAACTTTACATTTTCTGTCCATAGAGAAGTAGAGACGTATGCATTACATATGATATACATTTAAATAAGATGAAATCCAAAAAAGAAAAGCTGTAAACTTACGACCCGCGGTGCAGGCGCTGCGTAATTATTTACGCGGCGCCATGTAATCATGTAATTATTACCATCATTTATATAAATATTTATAATTCACTCATTTTTATTGTTGTTCAGGTTCATCATGCCTCGCGGAATACATAAATCGAAGAGGCCAAGTGGATTCCAACAAAGAAAAAGGAAGCTAAAATTAAATCGCTACAAAAGATAGCTGGATCCATGATGCAATATGTTGAAAAGTCGTCTACAAGCCAACGTTCATCCGAAGATTTACCTGAATGTTCATATGATAACAAAGATTGCACGGAAGAAAATGATGTAGAAATGATAGATTCTGATACAAACGTAGAAGATCAAAGAACAGAAGCACCAGATGTTATGAAAAAATATGCAGAAGAAAGTATTGAAAATGAATTATGCGATGAAACTGACAAAGAGGAAAATGCGACTATACAGGAAGAGATGCAAATTCTTAAGGGTGTTTCAGCTTGGAAAACACCTGTTCCACTTCATTTACGTACAGAAATTATAAAAAAGGGAGTATGCCTTTCCAGAACAAAGATGGTCCATTCGGCGTTATGTTAAGACGACTGCGGACGGAAAAGAAGAAGCTCAGCAGCTATCAAAAGATTTTTCAAGGAGATGAATAATGGTGACAAGGGTTTACGATCATGGGTGGTTTATTCAACTGTCAGTAAAAATTATACTGTTTTTGTTGTCGACTGTTGGTTGTACATGTTAGAAATTCAACATCGACATTTATGACTGAATTTCAAAAATGGTGGAAACTTAATCCAAAAGTATAGGCACACGAGGGATCTGAAGACCATCTACCGAATCTTGAAAAATGGAAAATTTTAGCAGCAGGTTTGCATTTGCAGGAAACCATTTGCAGGAAAAAAAAAGTGGAGAGATGTGTTGCATACGTTGCTCGATATAATTTTGTTTCTTGCGAAGCAAACTTTACCATTCCTTGGTCATAGAGAGAATGAAATTTCGTACAATGAAGGGAACTTTCTTGAATTACTTGAGATGCTGTCTAAATATGATGTATTGAAGGAACAGATGATAAGATTAAAAGAAAACAGGAAAAGCATATCTTATCTTTCATCTCAAATTCAAAATGAGTTTATAAGTGTTCTGACAAACCATATAAAAGAAAAACTTATATTAGAAATACAATCTGCAAAGTATTTTGGGATTATGTTTGATAGTACACCGGATATATATCATACTGATCAAATGTCAGAAGTTATTCGGTATGTAAAATGCAGCAACAGAAAGGCTGAAGTACGGGAAGTATTTTTAGAATTTTCCCCTTTGAACGGCAAAACAGCAGCTGATCTCGGTTCTGAAACACTTAAAAAAATTAGAAAATGATGGATTAGATATTATGATGTGCTGCGCCCAAGGCTACGATAATGCAGTTACTATGGCTGGAATTCATGGCGGTGTACAAGCTATTATCAAAGAAAAAAAATAAGAAAGCTCTTTTCAACGGATGCATAGATCTTTCGCTTAACTTATGTGGACAGCATTCCTTTAGCGTAAATGCAACTTCTGTAACTTTTTTCGGAACAATTGAACAACTATATACCTTCTTCGCTGCTTTGACCCATCGTTGGGATGTTTTAATTAAACATACTGGGGTATCTCTCAAAAGACTTGTTACAACACGTTGGGGTTACACTGCAGTCTTACCAGTAAAAGAAAACTTTGACAAAGTTTGGTTGTTGAATACTAGCATGATTATGATGCTTATTGCTTGAGACTTGTCCATGTTGAGTTTTTTGCTGAGTGACTGAGCAAGCCCAATATCTAAACCCCCAACTTGTAGGAACAAAGATTGTTTTCTTCAGGTTTCCTTCCCCTAACTTTTGATGAGCCATCATTTACTACAAGGTAGCAGTATTTTGAGAGAGGAAAGGTATTAAAGTCTTCCACCTCTTTTGCCTTTGGAGTGCAGTCAAACACTCTCTTTCGTCTTCTTCTTACTCTTCACTGATTTTGGTCCACCCCATGTATTTAATTTCCCCTGTATCCCCCAACTCACTAAATAAATGATATTATGGACCTTAGTGGCGAATCATGGTAGATATGGTTATTTGCGAGACATTAATTACAATTTTCTGAAAATGTATTGAGGGTGTTCAGCTGGTTCAGGCGTTGCGCAGGTTGCAAACTGATTTAGCTGTCATTCGTGTTAATGTTTTCTCAGGATTGTAACAAGGGAGAGAAGAGGGTAGATGTACCTTAAGCACTGTATTGTGAATTTTCTCTCTATTAATCGAAGTCAAGCATCCTCGAGATCTTGCCGCATGTGTAAGGCCACCCATAAATTTCATGAACTCCTAGATCAACATTAGTGAGCCTCCCTCCAACTTACTTAGCACATAGAAGTTCATTTAATTACTCACAAGTGACAACTATTCCATTTATGTTTTCTTTCCGTTGTATTTAAAATTTAGTTCCTTTTCTTCCCTTCCCAACCATCATACATTCCATAATGCAATTTTTGTTGTCTGTAATGAAAATCATCATTTAACCTTTTCATGCTTAACCTCTTAATTGCTTCCTTGATCCTACCAGCAGTTCCTTGTAGAGAGTATCTTTACACACAAGCCCATAATTGGGACTGTGGAGGTTAAGCTTGGTGGTAAGAGGCTGTCATCTTAAAGATTCTAAGCCAGCTGGGAACTACTTTGGGTCACCATTGTTAAGTAGACTCTTCACTGGGTTAAGAGTTCTGCCTACCTCTTCAAGGACATCTTCAATAACTTTCCATTGCGATCCTCTGCAATCAAAACCCTCTCCTTCAAACTGCTAGGCTAAGAAGGCCCTACCATAAGAGGTATGCTTGCACCAGCATAACTCTCACGGTCAAGGAGAGGGTTGTTGTTTTTTTTTTTCAAAAATTAGTATGATTTATAAAATTAGTATGATATATAAAACTTTTCTGGAATAAGAATGAAAGCAAATATGGAGAGCAATATAAGAAAGGCTTCAAAATGAGAATCAAATTTAATGCATAAATATATACTTTATTATCAATAAAGGTATGAAAAATGTTTCATAGGCGCATTGGTCAAAAAGGCAATACTGACACAGGCCATATTTAAATAAACATATAATCTTACTTATGAATAGATATTTGATCTACTGCACTAAATAACATGTTAACATATAAAATATCATAATTTTGGCTCAGCAAATGTGTTGGCATTCACATTACATTTGCCAGGTATGTACATGTAATATTTTGTTACAATACCACTAGAAGCTCAGATACTTTAAAATAAAATACATTCAATCATACATACACACATATAAGAACTTGAGCAAAATGCAAGTCTCAAGCATTTGATCTAGATAAAATAAATATTTCTTTCTCTTAACCATTATGGTGGGGAAAATATTTGCATAACACATATCTACATTATCTCTATTTATATTATGGCAAAATTAAATCTTTGTAATAAGTAATGATTTGGGGAAGCACAGGTAGATCCAGAGGGGGAGAGGAAAACTGCAGGGAGGGGCATTTCTTGTCCTCTCCTTTGAGCATTTATCCATTACCATAAAGAAAAAGAGATGCATGGTAATTGTTTTGGTTCCCTTCTGAGATATGAAAATTTAAAAAAATTATAATTCATGAAGGCAACAGTAAAGGGATTAGAAACCCATACTGTACAAGTACTCTTACTGTACAGAATGAAGAATACTGAACATTCTTACATTTGGTTTGGAATGTTACTGCATTCTCCTTACAATTCTTTGTGAATTCATATTGGATCCACCACTTCAACTTACAGGTCTTAAATAAACACGAGAATGTATATGTACAAATTGAATTTATACAAATTTTTAGATAATTTCAACTTTATAATAAAATATACACAAGAGGAAAGTTACATGTTGTGCCAATGTAACTGCTATATTTATTCACAAACAAAATTAATCTCTTACTTGTGCCTCATTTTAACCTATAAACACACTTAATATTACTTCATTCATTCATTCATTCATTCATTCCATACTCAAAATCTTATCTTGCAGACATATTCATTTGGAAAAATTCATATAATTCAACTAATATAATAGTGATAACTTTAATGGGCAGTATTGAACTGAGAATCATAATAATTATACTTTGGTGTTGCTACCAGAAAATCACAAATATTCCATTTATCTTTTATTATGTTAACCCTTCCTTGATCATGTTGGACAACTCAGTTACCCCAAGTGTACCTTTTGATTAATAATAATTTTTTTATTAATACATTTATAACTACATCTTACACAATCCCTTCATGAGCATTGGTTAATGCAAAGAATTTGTTCAGTTTTAGATTTAAGAAATACAATACTTTTGATTTTTTAAGTAGTTATAACTAAACCCTCTCTCTGATCAGAATCATCTTTTTACGTAAAAGAAAATAATCAGTAACCCATTTTAATGTAGTTTTGTAGTCCATTTAATCCACTTCACCAATACATTCCCATCAGGAATATGAAAAGATGATGTTTTGATAATTTCAATTATTTTGAACCAATATTAGAAAAGGTCAGGTAGAATTTGAATATTTGCATTGACAATACATGAAATTCTGCTTATATTACCTCACATCAAAACAACAATAAAATCTATCTAATGTTACTAAATTTCGAAAAAAGCTTGGAATAACTGAGGTCCCTCACATAAATGTAAGAAATATATTCCATTAATTAGATATGGGAGGGGGTAATAATAAAATATCAAAACACTGGAAATGCTAAACCCATACTCCATGAGGATTCTTACTGGTAGGTACAGCATTTTCGAGCTGACGTGGAGAACCAATCATCTTGCGAGTGCTGCCTGGCTTATGTGGGCCTGTAAGTATTGAATTAAAATGAAAGACATGAATTAAAATATGATTTCTCTTCAATTAAGTTTTAAATCAAAGAATGAAAATATCCATTTCCATTATCTAAATTCCATTGACTACTTCTCTCGGTTATTCATTCTATTATTAAAGAATGAATTCTGCTACTAAGATAACACAGATATAGAGGCATAAACAGATAATTTTCAGATTATCAACGGTACACCTCATTCACAATTGAATAATGTTTTAAGTTTGAATGAAAGAAAATAAAAACTCATTATATTTAAAAGTAGTATAAGAAAAAAGGGAAACTTCATATACTCTACATAAATCATTAATTACTTATGCAGAAATGATTAACAACTTATGATTAATTACTTTTGATGAAACATTTCTAAAAATAATGTCCACATTGACTTACAATTATTCTGCCTTTAAATATTCTCATACAACATAGTTTAGAGATAGTGTTCTCAAACAACAGTAAAAACGCCAGTTTTTCTAAAAAAAAAAATTGTTCTGAGGGTCCCTGATACCGTCTCACATGTGTGAACACTAAGGAGGCAGCGAGGATAACAGGCGCAGAAAACAGAGGTTCGTAAACGCGCGGCCAGGTATCCGCTGCCCGTACTAAACGAAGGCGAACTTGCAAGCAACGTTTTTCCTTGTGAAGGGTTAAGAGAGGGAAGCACCACCACTGAGAATTTCCCCAGGCGCCGCGCGATAAATACGCGAACCCGCAAGCGGAAGCTCTCTTTTACCACCGATTCGGAGCCAGTAGCATTTTGATCATCGCTCGCCGAGCCAACACTTTCGTTACATTAGTTTAGATATTGTTTGCCGCTGCAACGACTACTAGATAGGAGTATTCGGCGTCGAAAGACTAAACAGTCGTCGCGAGATAGAGCAGATTTAGTAAGTGTTTCTTCAATTAACAACACGGGAAGTAAAAGTTGCCCGTTGTGAGAGAAGCATTGAAAGTTCTGGCTTAGCAAAGTAGAAGTAGCAACAAGCGAGGAACTTGCACGAGTATTCAGTGAAGTGCAAGGGACATTTTCGCAACGTGGGCGTAGTCAGAGGCGCCGGTAGCAGACGAGGTGGAAGATAACGGACGGACCAGGGGCGCACGAGGAAGATGACGGAACGGCTGGGAGGAAGAACGGAAGAGTGACGCAAGAAGGCAACGCAGACGGCAGAGGGAATCCCGTCTCTTTACGACGCGAAGCTGGGTCGTGCGACGTCGACGCAGAGACCAGCGCACGACCATCAAGGCCAAAAGAGGGAAGTCCACGAGGTAACGGTTAGTCGCGAAAATAGGTCAAGTTCACGTCGGCAATGAAAAACTAGTATAGGAAAGTGTTAAGAATTGAAGACACGGATGGCAACAATTGCAGTATTAGAGTAGGAGACATTTTGATGGCGCTATTGCCTGCATAAACATTCTATTTTAGGACATTTATTATTCTGCCATTTTAGACAGGTAAATTGTAATGAGAGTTGTGCACTGCCACACATTTTGACTTTGCATGTAATATTTTGAAGGCAGGAGATTGGTAATTGAATTTTTGGTTTCATGTGCAATGTAATTAGAATAGCACAAATTTAGATATAATTAATTTTCCAAGGTAATTCCCAGTGTAGATTAGGGTAATTATTTCAGAGTATCAATTTTGAAGTAAATTATATGTGTTCATCCATACGAGTGTGTGGTAAAGGTTTCTATTTGTGTTTTGATTATTCTTTGTAAAAGCGTGATTCCATATTCTTGGTTTTTGTCATCAACTAAAGCCACTCAAAGTTTATGGGTAAATTATATTCTCGTTTGTGTGCAATCTGTGTGATTTTATTGTGTCAAGGGTTCAAACCTTTCTCGCACCCTGAAGATCCTGCTCCCTAGATTTTTAAGCTCGCTTCACGTGCAAAATCTTGATAACCCGCTTACGGTTCATGAGTGCTGCAGCAAAGGTAGTAAGTGTGGGTGTAGGTTCGCTACACACGCCCACACCAATAGCAGGACGTGCGAGCGAGCGCAGCGGTGTTCAAAATGGACCGCCCGCCGCCGATAAGACGATTGCCTGCTGTGACCGCTAGATAGCGCATGAAATACAGCAACGCAGCCGGAGGAGGGGTAGACGTCGTGCCACCCCTACAATGGAGGGCGGGTGCATATGTACGCGGACCCGCAAGCGGGAGCTCTCTCGCCACCGCTCGCCGAGCAAGCAGCTGTTAGTTATCATTAGCTTAGATATTGTTCGCCGCTGCAACGACTACGAGATAGGGGTATTCGGTGTCGAACAGACTTTCTAGTCAGTCGTCCACGAGATTGTGCAGATTCAGTAAAGTAGAAGTAGCAACGAGCGAGAAACTTGCAAGAGTGTTCGGTGAAGTGCAAGAGACATTTTGCCACGCGGGGGTGGTAAGAGGCGCCGGGAGCAGACGAGGAGGAAGAAGGGACCGAGGATCCAGGCGCATGAGTAAGAAGACGGATCTGGGCGTAGGGGCAAGGAAAAGACTGGAAGAGGACGCGAGGAGGCAGCGCAGCCTGCAGAGGCGAATCCCGACTCTTTACGCCACAGAAGCTGGAACCGAGCGGCGTCGACGCAGAGTCCAGTGCATGACCCCCAAGGCCAAAAGTGGGAAGTCCACGAGGTAAGGGGTTCGGGCGCGAGAAGTAGGTCAAGTTCATGTCGGCAGGGGAAAATTAGTACAGGAAGGTGTAAAGGAATCGAGGACACGGGTGGCAACAAATTGGAGTACCATAGTAAGAGCCACTTTGACGCACTATTGCCTGCATAAAATATTGTACATAGGACATTTATTATTCTGTTATTTTCAGCCACAGTTAAATTGTAAATCAGAGTGGTGCCCTTGCACACATTTTTGTTTGTTTGCATATGATATTTTGAAGGAGGAGATTGTAAATTGTAAATTTTGGTTTCGTGTGCAATGTAAAATAACAGCATAGATTTAGATATATTTAGTTTCCAAGGGAATTCCCGGTGGAGATTAGGGCAATCATTTCAGAATCTCAAATTTTGGTGTAAATTATGTGTTTATTGTTCATTTGTGTGCGAGTTGTAAAGACGAAGCGGGTTTTTTGAAGCAATTAAACCCTGTTTAACTGTTTGTGTGTTTCTTTGGATGGGCTCTCAACACCCCAAAAGATCCCACTGTCCTGTGATTTCTTTCAGCTCGCAAGAGGAGATATCTGCGGACCGCCCCAACGGACAACAATTTGGGTAGTAATACATTGTTTAAAGTAAGGGCGGGGTTCGTCAGAATATAAATATATATTTAATTTTTACATTTTTGAATAATTGATTTATAGTTTTTGTATTAAATAAGCCAAGTTTCGTCTTAGTATGTGTAGCTTGGAAATGGACGTGGCCTTTCGGCACATTGCTTGAACATTTCTTTCTATTTTCATTGTGAGAAATGGTTAATAGTGTCCTTTCCAGTGTTGGACACACTTGTGCTGGTTACAATCGAGGGTTGAAGAGCATCAAAATATTGGTGTGTTGTGGTTTATGTTAGCTCAGCATATGGATCAGCACTGATAATTTTAGAAGCCATCCCCCGAAGTTTTAAAATTTTCATATTTAGGGAACATTTTCATATTTTGGGAAACTACTAATACAAGGGTGCTGAAATTTTAAGAGCGTGTGGTACACCAATTTAAATACGTTAACACAGAGGATTTTAAAAATATTAAATACTTTAGACAATATTCTTACAAATGTCAATATTTTTAAGAACAAACCCGATTTCAACGGACAAAAATTTATATTTAAAAAAAACTAATAATATTTTTTAAATAACTTCTTTAAAATACGTATAAATAATGAATCGACACTTGTATAAAATTTCAAGTCTATAAGTTAAATAGTTCCTGAGAAAATGCTCCTTACATTGACATTGGCAAGACGGGCCATTCTGACTCCCATTACATTGTATGGACCATTGTATGAGTGAGTATGCAGTGTCTGAAGTGGAAGCTGAGCTGTCAAGTGTGCATTGCGGTGACCATTGGTGCAGTAGGTAAACAGCAGTCTGAAGTCGGAAGCTGAGCTGTGGAGTGTGCATCGCGGCAAAGAGCAGTGCAGTGGACCCGGATCAGCGCCGTGAATTGTCCAGCAGCGCAGTGAACCGAGGACAGTGCATCGGACAGCGGTAGATGCATCGGACTGTGCGATAGTGTAGAAGTGAATAGTGTAAATATATAATCGTTGAAGTGAGAGGTGCGTAAGGAAATAACCAAGTGAAGAACACAAGGATTGTGCAACTTATCTGTGAATAAATCTAGTATTTTTAGTGTATCTTTAAGAAACAAAATAAACTTCTTTGTTAAATATTACCTGCGTGTTTTTAATTCGCCACCAAGAAACGTTACTATTGTGTTTTCATACTTAAGCATCAACAATCTATCACAGATACGCTCATATCTTTCTGGCAGAAGACAGTATGTCGTTGTTACTAGCCGAGCGCACAAGTCAGTGGTAGTTAGTTCTGGTGTACCTCAAGGGTCTCATCATGTTTCCATTTTGTTTAATATATTCATTAATCATCTGCCATCTTTGAGAAATATAGTAAAATCTTATTGTTTGCGGACAATGCCAACAATTATGCCAAAATTACTGATTTTAATGACATCTTTAGCTTCCAGAAGGATTCTTCTGCCTTTTCCCAGTGGTGTTTGCAAACAATATGAAACTTCACACTGATACGTAATGTGCCATGATCATTGCCTGGAGAGACAACGTCGGGAGATACCTGTATTCTTTAAACAGCGAATCCTTGAGTACTCTCTAAAATCAGAGATCTTGTGCTGTCTTGTACAGCGATTTTTCACTGTAAACTTAATTTTAATATTGTAATGGGACGGTCGCGCGCGTCGGGTTGCGACGCGTTTTTCATCATTGTATTTAATATCACGTTGCTGTGTAAGTGGACCTGCAAATGTGCATCTTTCGTTACTTGCGAGGGTGTATGAAGTGTCGGGGTCGCGGAGAAATGCAGTTCAATTGTCTCAACACAGGCGCACCCCAGCCGTCTCCGCTGACTAACCAGGAAATACGCTGCTATCTCAGAACCCGGCAATTCAGCTGCACATGTTCTTGGAACTTAGGTGAAGTTTGAGTTTCAATAGAATTTGACCAGCCTAAAAGGTCATCAATGACGTCGCGATTGTGCGGAACATCGAGCGGGTCTCGAGGAAGGCATTATTTCCTGAGCTTAAAAGCCTCTAAATTATCACTAAGTTCGTAAGTGCAGTAGCCACCCTTAAGAGTTACTGCGGCCGCCCAGAGGTTGAAGGACTATTCAATAAAGCACTAAGGACATAATCTGTGTCATTAGTTGGGGTCGCTGCCCGCCGTTTTCCCCGCCAAGCCATTTTTTTTTATTATCAAACAGGCATATAATGCCTAAATACATTTCATATATACATAGATATGCTCTTGAAGATAACAAAATATTCGTTTGTCATAAAATAAGTATTGTCAATTGTTGCATATCTATCCAGTGTAATCTAATATGAGTTGTTTGATCATTTTAGCTATTGACGTATTTCGAGTCAAATCAATTTCATTCATA